CGTCATATCAGGATATGACATCGCCGAACATAGCACCACCAACGTCATATCAAGTTTGAAATCAAGGCATTATCTTGCCACTTGCATCATACTACGCCATCTACATCATAGCAAGTTCGATCTGCTTATGATACTGTGTGTATATAGCTAGCAGCTGGTCCAACCTTCTAGGGACCAGCGGATCATTCTGTTATAATCTGACCCCTACGTTCTACACCCTCAATATCTAACTACTTGATCCGAATCCTCTCCGATATATCACCGTATTATCTCCTACTGCTTGATCCTCGTAGAGTCCTAAGGACCAACCGAAATATAAGCAGCCATTTCCAACATCGCTGCTTACACTTTACTATAATATTGAAATTTTTATATCATATTAAGAGAGCTTTCTGTTGCAGTTTTGTATCTCAATTCTTCTCAGTGCATTAATATCTGATCTGTTTAAGATCTTTTTCAACTTTTCAATTGTTTACACTTTTATCTGATTCAATACATCTGTCATTTATAATTTGCAATGAAGAGTAATACCTACTCCATCTGCTGCAATTTTCTTTCTTTAGAGAAATTTATATTTAGACACTCTTTAATTACTACAGTTGCAATCTGCAGCTCTTGCTGTGGTCATATTGCTGATTCTAAAACTCTAAAACATTCAAACAGTGTTATTTAACTTCTTTCAAAATCTCCTCACACTGCTTCTGAGATATCTGTAAAACAATCATAAACATCAGTAATTTCAATATGTAATGCACTCGTTTATTATTTCCTTATTATTATATTATCTTTGTTTATATCTTCGTCTATTCTTACCTCTTTCCATTATACTCTCGCTATCACTATTTCTATATGTATATATATATGGATGCATATATGTCGCACATCTTCTTTCTCTTTCTTTTCCTCTTCAGCGATTAGCTACAACTACAACTTCGACTATACTACTACTATAATTATTATTACTATTATCTTCTACTACACTATATACTATCTTCTACTATTCACTCTTCACACTGTCATCACCCCTCACACAATATTTCTGACTCTGAAATCATCTGAAATTTCAAGTGACAGTGACTTTATTGAACATTCTTCTTCGTAAGAAAGTGATTCTGCAAGTAGAGAACTGAAGTTTCATCTTTTATCATCTCTGCAACAATACTCAGTAATTTCATTTTGATATTTGCAATCAATAAACTGTCAATAAACCCTCTTTCAATCATTAAAGTCGTCTAATTTTTATTATCACGAAGTACACACATCAAACCCTTCTTCACTTGCAGTAGTTTATAAAAAGCAAAGTATAATTCAATAAAGTCATTAAATAATTCAATGTTATGATGGGATTCCATCTGCTATATTTATATTGTCATTCTTACACAGAGATTAAGAACAGTTATAGAATGTCAATGAAATAATTGAATGTTTCTCATTCACTGCAATCTCATCTCTATCACTCAGTGATAATTTCATCTTTTAAGTGTCATTACAGACTTAATTCCCTCATTTAGTCAATTTCTTCAATTTTTCATTCATTTCATTCAGTTCTCAATAGCACACATCTCTCAGTTATTTAGAGAGTTTAATGAGTGATTTATCAATTGATATTGATCTCTGTTTATATTTATGTTTGAAATTCCTCATTTCATCTGCTATGAAGAATCTTGCAGACTCAGACTCCTCTTTAATGTTTAACAGCTTTACTTTTTTCAAAAACTCAGCATTGACATCAACTGATTGATAATATATTCAAAACTTTCATAAAGCTTTTAAAGATGAGGTTATGAAGATTTGCAGTTGCTGTCAATGTTAATGATTTAATATGAAATTGAAAAACAACATTTGCATTCACTGTATTACAGTTGATAAAAATCAAGAAGTAAATGAATTGTTTTTCTTTTCTGCAGATAACAATTTGAATTTTGATCAAGTTTTCAAACTTTCTTCTATAAATCAAATTGAGGAAATGTTTATTGCTCAGATTCATATGTTTGTGGAAATCTGTCAGATTCACAGCTAGCAATACAAATACAAGAATCATATTATCAACTTCTTTTAAAACATTGATTATGTTTACAATAGTCTTCTACTGCTGTTTAAAGATCTTAATATCATTATTTTGTAGCTTTCAAATACATCTACTGATCTTTACTTCTTTCATTGATTCCATTGTGATTTCACTCCCTGAAAGGCTGTTGTTAAACAATGGCTAGCTTTTCTTTGAGTGAATCATTCTGATTATGCCAATATCAATATTAATCAGAAGGCTTTAAAGGTATTATCAGTCAATGAGAATATTATAGATCAGTTAATGATTGAAGATATTGAAAATACTCAGCTGAATAAAGAGATCAGCTCTGATGATATAGATAATTCCTTTGAATATGCAGCAGTGTCTGATTTTCTTATCTATAATGAAGAAGTGAAGCAGTTTTGTCAGAAATTTGAACAAATACAAAACTCTGAATCAGATCTGCAGCTGCAATCACAGCTGCAGCAGCCACAAATTCTGCAATATGAGCTAACAATACCATCCTTTCACAACATATAGAGCTTCATATTGTAGAGGTGAGGTTGGAGGTGATGTTTATGAGCATTATTTACAGCTGCCTTCTTAATTAGGACTAGCTCCGCAATAATTTAGCACACTGCAGCTTGTGTGCTACAATGTATTTTACAGGTACGGTATGTTACGAGGGGTTCGGGAATATTTAACTGTCCGAGTACATGAACCACCGATACTGTGACATGCTCCATTCGTTCGTCGTCAAGGGATCTAGGCCACTTTGTCGTGAAGGGCATATAGAAGTGATGTGTTGGAAAACACTGCTGGCCACATCATCGAAGATGGCCTGGGGAAGCAGTCTTCTAATCGTGCCGCGCGCACCCACACCTGATGTGGGTGCGCCACACCGTAACGATAAAAACAGCGTAACGATAAAAATATGAATAATATGAACTTCAAAAATCAATATCTCAACACCGCGTAGCTAATCTATGATAATTAATTTATCTATATCACCTGTAGTAGCAGTATTATTCGCTAGACATTCATATATATCATTAACCTCTTGTTGGGTTGGTTCTGTGGCATTTTTCTTCAAATCTTTCCCAACATGCTTGACTCCCTTATAACATTGTTTTTACAGCTTCCTCCTCCTTACGTTGCGCGATCTTCCTATTGCATCCCTCACGAATCC